TTCTTAGATAAGTCTCTTTAACATTTCATATAATAAGGTCTTGGTGATGATGAACTCCTTGAATTTGACCTTATCTGAGAAGTATTTTATCTGCCCTTCCATTCTAAATGAAAGCTTTGCTGGATAGATCAATCTTGGATGTAGGTCTTTGGATTTCATGACTTGGAATACTTCTTTACAGCCCTTCTTGCCTGTAAGACCCCGTCCCCACATGCAGCATCACAACCCAGCGACCTGGGTTGCCCTGCCCTGGTGAACACCTAAGGCTCTGCCCCTCATACATAACAGGTGCGAACAGACAAAAACATGGCTCAAGAACAGCTCAGAGCCCCAGAGCCAATAATTCTAAGTGACCAAGAGATAGCCAAACTTTCAGATGCACAGTTCAAAACACTGGTGATCAGGATGCTCACAGAATTGGTTGATTTTAGTCACACATTAGAGGAACAAATGAAGGCTAAACTAATTGAAATGGAGAGAAATGCACAGGAAAGCAATAGTGATGAAAAGGAAGCAGGGACTCATATCAAGACAGTGGACCAGAAGGAAGAAAAAAATGACCAAACAGAAAAGAATGAAGACACAAGAATTCAAAAAAATAAGGAGAGGTCTAGGAATCTCCGGGACATCTTTAAACATTCCAGCATCCAAATTATAGGGGTACCAGAAGGGGAAGAGGAACAGCCACAAGTAACAAATAATAAAGGAGAACTTCCCCAATCTGGCAAAAGCAATAGACTTCCGGGAAATCCAGGAAGCTCAGAGAGTCCCAAAGAAGTTGGACCCAAGGAGGAACACACCAAGGCACATCATCCTTACATTAGCCAAGATTAAAATGAAGGAGAGAATCCTAGAAGCAGCAAGAGATAAGGGGATAGTCACCTACAAAGGAATTCCCATCAGACTGTCAGCTGATTTCTCAAAAGAGACCTTACAGGCAAGAAGTTTAATATATAATTGATTGAACACTACTAGAAGCTCATGTATATTAATTAAAATTACAAAGATACTTAATAAATGAATTAACAAAAAGACACCTAAATTGAGAAGAGATTAGAGAAAAGCAGTATTAGTGAAGATGAATTAAGTCTTCATTTAACAATACAAGAAATGAATAGATAATAACTAAAGCTGATGAATCAAGAAATATATATATATGGTATTTAGAAATACGTATGCAAAGAACAAGAAGCATAAGTGACTGAGAGACCAGGGGTGTGAAGAGGCAGGACCAGGAACACTCACTTTCCATCATGAGTATTTTGACTGTTGGATTTTATCATCATGTGCATGATTTTTTTTCTTCACTAAAAATAAAACTAATGAAGGTGCCTCTGGAGAGATGAGAGATGCCAAGACCTCATTATTATAATAGCACCTCAGTGCCTTCACAGTATTCTCTCTCCTGACATCATAATATAGACCTGAGGGCATGGTCTATGTCCTTGTTCATCTGGTTACCAGGGACTGGCCACCCAGCACAAGACCTAGTCCTGGTTATGTGTCAATTAAAAGATGGTTGAAGAAATAACTGAATAAAAACTGGGCCCTACCCATCTGTCTGTCTGAGAGGAGGCAAGGAAAAAGTGCCCAATGTAAAAAAATGTAAATGAGTGCATATTTTAAAAAAACTCTTGTGCTATATATTCATCCCACATATCACACATATTTTTAAGCTGTTTTTGTCTCATCACATTATGTACTTCCAATGAACTAACCTTTTTTTTTTTTTTAGTAGGCAGAGGGTTTAGCTTGGGGTTAATACCGCAGAACCTTTCTCTAAGGGGCAAACTTGAAGGATTTATGCTTTGGTAACACATGACTTTGCCTTTGCTTGTTATCTTGTTTTCTGCTAAGGGGAAACTTTTAGCAGTGAAAAATGTGAGCTCTGGATTTCTATTCTCATCAGGGCAGAAAACAATAGGTTGGAGTTGCATTATGGGCACATCTGACTTTGGTGAATTCTATTTATTACTATAAGTTACTATTTCTATCACCATCACCATTGCCACAACCTTCATCCTCATACCTACAGCCAGAAAGCAAAAATGAGTATGAGATGTACTCCTGACACTATCCTAATATCATATGTCAAGTGTAACTGAAAAGCAAAACATTATTTTAGAAAATACCATTGTACGCTACTACAGATTAAGATTTGGTTCTTTTAAAATAAATTCTATGCTTATGTTTATTTTATTTTTAAAAAGTGAGTATTAGAAATATAATTTCAACAGGGCAGGTGAGTCTACTATCAGACTACTAGAATTACACACCCCCTAGTTGGAATGAATATATGGAACTCCCATCTGTAGGGTCCTCAGCCCACCTGAATTCCACTTCTCACAGTGCAAGCATCTCGTTGTACTAAATACAATTATAATATTTAAATATACTAAATACTAATTACAACAGTATTTTAAATTTTATTTAAAAACTGTTTGACAACTGGCAAATGAAATGTATTTTTACTCCATTTTAAAATTTGTTTAAAAAAAATATGTCCTGGCTGGTGTGGCTCAGTGGGTTGAGCATGGCCTGTGAACTGAAAGGTTACTAGTTCGACTCCCGGTCGGGGCATATGCCTGGGTTGTGGGCCAGGACCCCAGCTGGGGGCGTGTGAGAGGTAATTGATCAATGTTTCTCTCCATCTTCCGCCCTCTCTAAAAATAAATAAATAAAATAGAAATAAAATTTGTTTAAAAAATAAAATTTTCAATTATGGTTGACATAGAATATTATATTAGTTTCAGGTGTACAATATAGTGATTAGACATTTGCATAACTTAGAAAGTGATCAGCTGGATAAGTCTAGTACCCACCAGATACCACACATAGTTATTACAATATTGTCTACATTCCCTAGGCTGTACTTTACATCCCCATGACTATTTTTTTAATTGGCAATTTTTAATTTTCAATTCAACATATGTTTTAGTATTGCTTGTTAGGTAAGTTCACAGGATCATATCAGTTCTACAGTTAAGCTTCTGCTGGCTTTCTGGTGGCTGCTGGGGTTATCACATTTTGTTTAACTGGATCATAATGAATGAAGATTGAGTTTATAACCCCAAGGTTATATGACATAATAGTTAGAGGGAACCTTGTGATTTGTTAAATCTCCTGGTTTAACAGGGGAAAGTATTTATACTTAGAGAAGTAAATTGACTTAAATTAACACTGTACAGATTATGCTGACTAAAAACGTATTTATAGTTATCTCCCTCCCTCCCTCCCTCCCTCCCTCCCTCCCTCCCTCCCTCCCTTCCTTCCTTCTTTCCTTCCTTCCCTCTCTCCTTCCTTTCTTCCCAAGGCATTGTGTTGGGACAAAAAAGATATGAATAAAGAATTAACCCTACACATATAGTGTATGGTATAAAAAGATGTATAAACAAGTAAATGTAATTATAAGCATTATGTAGAAGTCTTGTAAGACAAGTTCAAGATCAACACTCTCCTGACATGTTGACAAAAAGCTTAGGAAAGGTGAAATTCAAGTTAAATATTAACGATGAGTGGTTGTTCTCCAGTTGTATGAGGTAGTGATAAATTTTAATCAGAAGGAGAAACATCAATAAGGGCACAAGGGCATGAAGTTGCAGGGCCCTTTCTTTAAGGAAGTAGGAGGAAGTTGAGAGAGTGAGGGAGGGAGATGAGGTAAAACAAAAAGTAAGGCTGGAAATGTAGGAACATCATGGAAATTTGTGTAATAATAAGTCATTGGGACTTCATTCTGTCGGTAGAGGGGAGCTGCCAGTGAGGTGGTGGCAACCGGGCAGTAATACGACTGGATTCACGCTGTCATCCTGGGATGTGCTCGTTGGTTGGATAGAAGGTAGGCAGAAGGTGGGCCGGAAGCTGGAAGCCGGAAGCTGTAGATGTTATTATAACCCAGAAGGCAGATGATGAAGGCTTGGACGAGAATAAAAACCTCATTTGTGTTGCCCATCGTGGTGTCCCAGGTACTTAGAACGCTGCCTGGTGTTAAGTGAATCTTTGCTGAATGAATAACAACCCAGTGATGCTGCAATGTCCAGATGAAGCATTGCTACCGAGTTGGCAGTTACTGGATATGAATGTCTTATCTACATACTATTTGAAAGATTGAGTTACTTTACTTATAACTGAAAACTAAAAACTAAACTTTAATTTAAACTTTAGTTTTATTTAAAACTAAAACTATAACTTATTTAAAACTAAATGTAGTAACAGTGAAGTAACAAAAAACTCTGGGAAACCAAATTTTCTAGTTAACTCAGGATAAAGTGAAGTTGCCCAGGATGCTACAATGTCCCTGCCCTGTAGAATCTAGATATTTAATGTGATCTCTTTTAGGGAAATGAGAGCTCTCTTAGAAATTACTTTTTGAATTCAGCACTTTACAAAGCGCAGAATTATTGTTCAATAACCAAAACATCTAAAACCTTTTAAAGAAGTATATTAAAAATCCATACTTAACATTGTCACTGAAAAGTTATAATTAAGGAGAGAGAAAAAGTAATTTTAATTCAGAAAGTTACAAAAGGAAGAAGTAGAAAGTTGCTGAAGCCTGGGAAGAGAAAGAGATTTTTTCAGAAGTCAAGTTTGGTTTAAAACCTAAGAAGCTTGAATTTGGTTCTAGACATCATCATCATCATCATCATCATCATCCACCTTGCTAAAGAAGTCAACTTTAAAAATCAATAACAATAAATCTAAAGTCAGCTCTTGTTTAAAAGAATGGGGTCCCTACTTCCCACCTTCCTCTGCCTTAGTCAACTGCTTATGCCTATTGAATAAAAACAAAGGGATCATTTTAAACCAGATTTGACTTATGGAGCTTAGGGAACTAGAAACATACTTGTTATAACTTTAACACAAGAAAACTCATCAAAACAACTGTTCAGAGCAACTTTTCAGAGTTTCTGGTGGGATAAAAATATTTCTAGTTAAAATTTTTAATACTTGTTTATTTTTAATTTTTTTATTCTCACCTGGGGACATTTTTCCATTACTTTTAGAGAGAGAGGAAGGAAGAGTGGAAGAGAGAGAGAGAAATATCGATGTGAGAGAGAAGCATCGACTGCCTGCCTCCTGCACGTGCCTGAACCGAGGATCAAACCTGCAACCAGGCCAATCAGTGCTCTGACTGGTAATCAAACCTTTCAACACATTTGCTCATTTCATGATGGGTGATTTATGAGCACACCGGCCCACACCAAGCTGAGTATTCAGCAGTTTTTAACCAAAAATAGCATGAACCCCATGCCCCATCCTCCCTATTCACCTGATCTCTCCTAGAGAGACTTTTTTTTTGTTTCCCTGGATGGAAAATATCCTCAAACGGACATGTTTTGCTGATGTAGAAAAGGTGAAACAAAAAATGGCAGAGGCACTAAGAGGCATCGAAATCGAGGAGTTCAAAACCTGCTTTGAGCAGTGAGAAACGTCTCAATAGGTGCATTGCATCAGATGGAGAGTACTCTGAAGGTGACTGAAGTTTAAACATGGAAGAATAAATACACAATTTTTAAAGTAAATTCATTTCATTTTGGGGGGTACACCCTCATATATCATAATTGTTAGTCATTTTATTAATGGTGTTTGTAGTTTTTTTTCTTTTTTTGCATCTTTAGGCATAAATATTTGTCTGAATGTAAACTATTCCCCCCTAAAACTAGATTAGGAACATGGAGTCACTTAATATTCATTGTGATAAGCCTTGGCCAGCTCCATCAAGGACAGACTGTCCTGGCCCTGCCTAGACATGGCCGGTGTTAACAGTGGCACTGAAGCCTGCATGGGAGCAGGTGGGGTATGTGAAGGCTTTCCCTAACAGATCAGGCCTCATCTTGAGTAGGTAGGTAACGGTCATTATAACCTGAGTGTGTGTCCTATGAGGTGATGGGAGAGACTTCACAGGTCCTGCTCACTGACCACCCCTCCACCTGAAAGATGTACTTTCTGAGTTTACTGCAGTACAACATAAAAGGAGTAAGATATATTTCATATTTCCAGTTGTCAAACCTATTTTTCTACAGGATGATTTGTGTCAGAGGGTGAGTAGAACGCATATTCAAGGTAGCTGTGCTAAGTTAGAATAGAGATATTTTCAGTGTTTGATCATAACTGTAATATAATCATTCTTTGTGCAGAGAAGGAGTGTCCACATTTGTAAACCTGGCAAATATAATTCAGACAATAAACAAAACAAAAAACACAGACCAAATGCATACAGCGTAAAATTTACCCTCCTTATCAGAAAAACAATTTTAGGATATCTTACCCTGCCCCGGAACATCTTTAGGTAGTTTATTGTTCTTCCAAATGAATGTGGGGCTGGTAACTTCTGGTTGAGTTACATTTTTGTGGGTGTCGAAGGATAAAAGAACCTTATACTATGTCAGGGCATAAAAAAGAAGGATGAACAGAAAGAAAAGATTTTAGAACAAGTTCTGATAAAATTGACCATCCTGTCCAACAACATTCGAATTTTATAGTAACAGTTTTTAGTGAAACAAGACAATGTTAACCAGCCACAGGGGAGCTTGGTATGACCCATTTATTGCTTCCAAGCATGAATGTGGATTTAAGCTCCATGTAGGTCAGTTAGTTTTCTGCTTTTGTTTTTCATGACCATACACCACGTCAGCTCAATACAAGTTCTTTGGCTCTTTAGAGAACTGGTTCAAGTTTTTCATTTTACAAATGTTAAAATAGAGGCTAAGAGACATGCAAAGATGCTCATTGTCACTAATCATGAGAGAAATGTGAATTTAAACCACAGTGAGTTATCACCTCACACCTGTCAGATTAGCTATCATCAATAAATTCACAAACAAGTGTTGGCGAGGATGTGGAGAAAGGAGAACTTTTGTGTCCTGTTGGTGGCAAAACAGACTGATGTGGCCACTGTGGAAAGCAGTATGGAGATAATTCAAAAAACTAAAAATGGAAATGCCCTATGACTCAATGATTACACTTACGGGTATATATTAGAAGGAACACAAAACACTAATTCAGAAGAATATGTGCACCCTTACATTCATTTGCAATACCCAAGATATAGAAGCAACCCAAATGCCCATCAAGAGATGAGTAGATAAAGAAGCTTGTATGTATATGTAATGAAATACCAATTGGTTATAAAAGAATGAAATCTTACCATTTGCAAAAGCATGGATGGACCTAGAGGGTATTATCCTAAGTGAAGTAAATCAGTCAGAGAAAGATAAATACTTTGTTATTTCACTTATATGTGGAATCTAATGAACAAAATGAACAAACAAACAAGATAGAAACAGACTCTAGACACAGAGAATAGACTGATGGTTGTTCTAGGGGAGGGTTGGGAGGCAGACCAGGCGAAAAAGGTGAAGGGATTACGAAGTACAAATTGGTAGTCACAAAATACAGGGATGTAAAGCACAGCCTGGGGAATACAGTCAATAATATTGTCATAACTATGTGTGGTGCCTGGTGGGTATTTGAAATATCAGGGGTATCACTTTGCAAAGTATGATTGTCTAACCACTATGCTATACATCTGAAACTGATACAAAATAACATCGACTACAAACTGCAATTGAAAATAAAACTTAAAATGAAAAAAAGAGCCCTGGCTGGTGTAGCTCAGTGGATTGAGCGTGGGCCTGCGAACCAGACAATCGCGGTTCGATTCCCAGTCAGGGCACATACTGGGGTTGCAGGCCAGTTCCCTGCAGGCCAGTTCCCAGCAGGGGACGCATGAAAGGCAACCATACGTTGATGTTTCTCTCCCTCTCTCCTTCCCTTCCTCTCTAAAGATAAATAAATAAAATCTTTAAAAAAAATGAAAAAAAGAGTAAAAACAAAATAGATGCTAAGAGAAATTAAGTGGCTAGCTCCAAGTCACTTGAGAGGTGAAGTGCCAGTGTTCCCCACAATGTTCAGTTACTAGACAAAGTGGTGTCTTGACAAAATACACAACAGCTAAAACCCATTTTCCATGTTGATGCATGTCAAGGGCTCTGAAATAATTCTACATTTCTTAAGTTCTGTCAAGAACAAAATTTTCAAATCTATCCTTTTCCTCTAATGTGCTTTCTTATACATGATACTAGGTTTTTAGGATGAAAGGCTTTTTTTTTTTTTCAAGTAATCTCACAGTGGGAATATTACTGTATCCTGAAATGACTGCTACACATATTGAATCAGTTTTTAAAAGAAATCTACAAAGAGCATCTTTCTTTTTCTCTTTAAAAGTACTTTATATATTTATTTTAGAGAGAGGGAAGGGAGGGAGAAAGAGAGAGAAACATTAGTCAGTTGCCTCTCCCATGTCCCCAGATGGGGACTAAGTCCACAACCCATGTGCTCTGACCAGGAATCAAACCAGTGACCCTTCAGTTCACAGGCCAGCACTCAATCCACTGAGCCACACCAGCCAGGGCTAATAGCCATCTTTCTAAATTCACAGCCATCCCCTTAAAACATTGTGGACAAAAGTTTTACAGCCTCAAAAATAGACTCAACTTTAGAGTAGAATCTATAATTGCATGTATTGAGGACAGGATATATCCTATATATTAAAATGGTACATTGAATCTCTACTGGGATCTACTCTGGATACAGAATAATCTATAGCCCTATGTTTTGAAAATTAATCCCTAGTTTCTCCATATACATGTATTGTAAAGCACAATTGGTAGCATGAGATTACTGAAAAATTCAACTAGGTATGCCTTTAGAGAGAATAAGTGCACAGAACAACATCTTTTATTTTGAAGAACAGGCATGAGGCTGACATTGGATCTGACCACAAGTATCAGCCTCTCATCCCAGGTGCAAATAACTTAGAGGGGATTTTAATTGTCTTTGTTGTTACTACTAGTAACTGAAGTATGGAGGGGATCTTTTTAAAAAGTATTCCTATTGAATGAATGCTAACTATAGCATTATATTAAAGGTCCAATATAGTAACTGAAAACTTTGAATTATATTTCTGAAATAATGTTCCCAAATTTCTGGCCTAACTTTCTTTTCTCTAGCTTTCTACATTTTCTATTATCGATACCTTTACAAAGCTGAAGATATATGTATCTCCATGAAAATGTCATAATGCTCACACTGGAAAATTACATAAGCATGAATAACTTTTTCTGTTAGAGTCTTAGTTCTATAAGGGCCCAACCTCTTAAATACAAAAACTTTCTACTGACCATTTGGTTGGCTACAACTGTGGCCTTCAAAGTTTGAGATGGGCCCTACTTTGGGTGACACGAAGACATGTCTTTTGTTTTTAAATTAAATGCTTATCAGCCATCAACCATGTGCCATATGAGAAGCTAAGCATCAGAGACATATAGAGGTAAGACCTTCTCCCTCTCTGTGAAGAACCTACTAAATTGGAGAGAAGAAAAGACACATAGAATGTGAATAAAAGAATAGCATTATAGGGCTGTTTATGTGTGTCAGAAGGATTACACAACGATTTTCATGGAAGTTCAGATGGAGAGAACAGAAGATGTTTTACTGAAATTTTTAGTTATGGAAATGAATGAACAATTCTTACAAGAGAACTGTCATCCTCTCATTGGTATTCTATCAATAGTTTGGTCTTTATGTCAATGTATTCTGGGTGGTAATTTTTTTCATGCAATAGAGTAGATATTCTGAATAAAGAGTTCTGTGGGTCAAAATGCTTAAGCAATAATGCCCCAAGTGGAGTATAATTATGAATCTGACATAAACTAACTTCCAGAGGTTATGGCTACATAACTTCTCTAATTCCTCCACTATTACTCGCCTCCCAAGTTATCCCTCCTCAGCCAATCACTTCAACCCAAGTTCTTGGTGAGAAGTCAGACATACTTGTTTGGTATCCACAGAGGTATACAGAAGCACCATCTGATTATCGATATCCCCAAAGTCGTCCAAAGTCACGTTGTTACCCGTTACCCCTAGAGCAAAGTCAGAAAGAGTTAGAGGCCTTTGTTAATTTACTGACTAAAAGATCAGTTAGATACTGACAGAGGGTATAAAATAGATTCAAATTGCTCTTTGTTACTGAAAAAAATGATCTAAATGATCTAATCTAAGGGTATCCGGATTGGTTCTTGGCCCCGAGATCTCTGAAGAGTATTTTTATGAGAGATGTTTTTTAGTTAGAAGAAAAAATCTTTTACATTACATTTGGGCTGGGGGTGGGGTGGGGTGGGGTTGCTAAATGTGATAGATTCTTCCTGCTTATTAGTGAAAATTTTTGCTTAGAGTATTTACCAAACTAGTATCATAGTGTGTAGGTTACTGAGTAATCTAACTTAGGATGTTCACTATCCCTTCACTATCACTTACTGGTTGAAGACATTGAGGAAATTAAGTTCTCTGTGTCTCAGTTTCTCATCTATGAAATAATTGCAGTACAACAAATGTATGAAATGGCTGTTTAGGTAAAAAATATGATCAAATACCATAATTTCATGTAGTTCAACAAACAGTTAATATTTATTTTGCATCTGTTACACCAGACTCTGTGATAAGTGTTTTCTAAAGCATAAACTGGGGTCTAGTTATTGATAATAGAACCTCCAAAGTCTAC